AAAAACGTGGTTCTTATTTCAACATAAAATTAGCCAAACCAGCTAAAAAAACATCTGACGAAGCGGCTTTTGGGGTTTTCGAGAGAAAGATTGTGCAAAAGATTTGCCGACCTTTACGCGTTGGCGATGGCGAGTACCGCAGACGATTTAACGATGAGCTGTATGACCTTTACAATGACATAGACATCCATAGTGCAGCGAATTAAAATTCAGCGGCTTCACTGGCTTGGCCATGTCGTTCAAACGGACAGAAACGCCCCTGCTCTGAAAGTGTTCAATGCCGGCCGCGATGCTCATAACAGAGGAACGCCTCCTCTGCGTTGGAAAGACCAGGTGGAGAAGGACTTGGCTTCACTCGGCGTTTCCAAATGGCGCCAGTTAGCACAGAAGAGAAATGACTGACGTGCTGTTTTGGTCTCGGCCAAACTCGTAAGTGGGCGGTGCCACGCCCATTTTCCAAAAATTTCATTATATTATTTTTACCACAATTCTACTCCACACACTAATTTTCAACAAATTCCATCTAATACTTACTGATATATCGCAGTTTTTTGAAAATACCGTTATATGGGAAGTGGGCGTGGTTACAGTACCAACCTACCTTGGATAAGGGGCAACTTACATACCAAATTTCGTTGATATCTCAATTTTTGGTCGAGTTATCGTGTACACGGACAGACGGATGGACAGACAGACATGGCTTAATCGACTTCTCTTTTCATTCTTATCAAATATGTATACATTTGTCCATAACTATCTCGATTCGTTTTGGCTGTTACAAACAACCGTTATGCGAACAAATATATATATTAATATATAATAACATATAAATATATATTAAATACCCTTGTGCAAAAGTACGCTCGGGTATAAATATAGAAAAAAGGTTTTTTCTTAACAGCAGTCGCCCCTCGGCAGGCAATTGCGAACCTCCGAGTGTATTTCTGTCATGAAATACAGTTCGGAGACCGCATAAAAATGAAGGTTGTTGTTGTTATAGCGGCATACAAGTTCCCCAAAGAGTTTTTGGGGAGTGTTGCTGGAGTGACAGTCCTTGGCCAAATATAATTCTGGGTCATTCCGGTTACGTACACCCGACTGTCGTGGGAACGGTAAAAATGTAGGCCCCTCCCCTTTGTGTGACAACATCAAGGCGCAGGCGACAAATCAGAGGAAGAGCTCGGCCAAACACTAACATATGTGTAATCGCCAATCAATTAATTAAATAGACAATTTCAAATGCCCTCCGACTAGGGACGTTAATTTTTCTGCTTTTTCTGATCCCGGGATTTTCGTGATGCCGTTATCACAATCCCGGGATAAGTCCCGGGATTTGGATATTCATTACTTTTCAACAAATTAAATCGATAAAATTTCTTCTATATTGTTTGAGAAGCTCTCCTTCCATAAAATAAATAATAAATAAATGGGTCCAAACCGTACTTTTTATTTTAAGTAGGGTTTTTATTTATCTCTCTGAGGTCAGGATTTATTTATATTTAAAGAATTCAATGCAATGTAGAATAAAAATTTGGGCCACATGCAAGAGGAAATTTCTTTAGAATTCAGAAAAATTAAAACTTTTTGGATTCACAAGGACGAGTAGGTAATTTTTTTAGGTGATAAAAATAGGACGCAATTCGAGAATTTTATCGAGTTTATATAAGTCCTTAACTTATGTTTATTTCATAAACAAATATTGCAAAATTTCAATGATAAAATTTTAAAAGGACATTTTCAATACTTACCAGTCCTTCTGCACCAAAAACTTGAATCCGTTTAAATTCTACAGAATTTCCTCTTTAATTTGATCCCATATTCTTCTCTAAGCACATTTCTCTGAATTGTTTGAATTACTGACGTTAGAGTGAAAATCTAAAAACGCAATTTTACACTATTTGGTCCATGGTTTCGCGAATATATTGATATTTGTATTTAAAATTTACTATCGTGTGGTGTTATATGTATAATGTGCTAGACATTATAAAAAATATTAATTATTAAATAAAAAAAGTGATATAGGCAATACTGGTCATGAAAAGAATTTTCCATTATTGCCATCCGTGCAAAATATAAATCCCGAAGATCCCGGGATTATTTGCCGAGAATCCCGGCATTTTGGGGACCTTCAAAAGGCCGGGAGCCCTGGATTCCGGGATCGCAGGATTAACATTCCTGCCATTATTTTCTTCTCAGTAAATTAGTCCTTTTAAGGCCATAAATTCGTTAAGTTAGTTATTTTGGATCACCCTAATACACACATATGTATGCCTATATCTATCGCGTTTACTTTAGGCTGTTATAAACAACCGTTATGCGAACAAAGTTAATAAAACAGTGCGCGGGTATACAAATAATTAGGGAGCTCACAAAATGTTGTATACTGTCGTATAGTTGTGCATCCTAGAGTTTCACAACCATGGTAATAATGTTAAAAAAAATACGACCTACAACAATATGACAGTATAAAACATCCCTTAATATATTACACATTTGAAACTACCTTCAATTTAGTTGGAGTTTTAAATTCTTTTGCACACATTGTACAAGTGAAAACTCTATTTGAGTGATGATAAAGTATATGAGACGAAAGCGAGGTTCTTGATTTTTTCTCAACATTACAGTGAGGACACTTAAATACTACACCAGATGCTTCATCACGATGTGATTTCATATGCTTGCGCAAATTATGATCACTCTTAAGCCATTTATGACATACTGTACACTGCACCTCTGGACGTGGCTCCGTGTTGTGTATGTTGTCCATGTGATATTTTAAATTTGCCGTGGTTCTTAAACGTTTTCCACATATTTCGCAAACAGATTCAAATTCATTTCGATGTACAGCTCTTTCATGCTGAGTTAAAGTCCAGATGTTGGCAAAACTAAAACGTTAACATAAATATGTGGACAATTCAAGAAATAACACAGCTTACGCTTTATCGCACAGTTTGCACACGTGATTTTTAGACATATGACACATCTTTATGTGACTATCTAAAATGTATTGTTTGATAAACTTTTTCGGACAAAGTTTGCAAGCAAATTGAAGATTTTCAGCTGCTGGGTGTAACGAGTGCATATGATTGATGTAATTTTTGCGGCTTATCAATTGTTTTTGGCATATTGAACACCTAAGGGATGAACAATAGGCAATTAAACCGGTATACATGCATTAGCGCGGGTCAATTTGTATTTGAGATTTTTTCAGCTATGCGCGTATAGCACAGAAGGATTCTACGGGTAATTCTAAGCGAATTTGGCGAATAAACAAGGGGTCTAAAATCATTTTGGAGTTTGAAAATAGCGAAAATAGGTTTCTTAGCATTTTGCTGTAGTGTCGTAAAGAAGAGAAATTTTGTATAAAAACATGCTTTTTGGTATGAATAATCTATTTCTGCACTTATACTATTTTTTAAACTTCCACCAAAGTGCGAACAGTGAAAATTTTCAAATTTTTTTTGAAACCTATTTTCGCAATTGGTCAAACCCCAAATGATTTTACACTCATAGGCTCTTCGGCAAATTTGCTTAGAATTACACGTAGAGTCAGTCCTTCTATGCAATACGCGCGTAGTGATATTTTCATATCGCTGGCTGAGTGGTAGATCGATCTATTTCGGCAGCCCATTGTAAAACGCCCTATCTCAGAAAATTTTCTTCAATAAAATTCTGAAATAGGACGTTCTTCAATCAAATTCTGAGATAGGGATAGGGATAAATCCATCTTCCACTCAGCTATCGATATGCAAATATATTTTTATACATACGTACGTACTTGAAAAAATCTGGATTCTTATGCAGTTGTATGTGATCTACAAATAATGTGCGTTTGAGAAAACGTTGGTCGCAGCAAACCGCATAGCCAGCGCATTTATGTTTTTGTCGAAAATGAGTTTTAAGGTCCTTAAAATCTTTCAACTTCTCCTTACAAATGAAACAATCTAACTCTGTGTTTTTCGCCAAAAATTCATCAGCCTTTTGGATAGCTTTTAATTTTTCACCATAATTGATGGAGTGCTCGGGTTTTTGCGCAATATCTTTGCTTTGAGTTTTCTTTTTATTGGCAGTCCGTTTTCTTCGCTCTGGTTTTTCTTTAATGTTGGTCTTATTTTTCTTTGGAGGGCTATCGATTTTTTTTGGGCGTCCTCTTCTCGCTTTTCCTTTGTTTTCAACCACAACATTTAATTTTTGCGCCTCACATTTATTATCCTTCGAATGAATGTCTAATATTTTATGGTATTTTAATTGAAATAATTAGATGTGGTTATATTATGCGTATACATATCTGTGTTCGTATGGAATAGTAGCTTATGTCGGGAAGCTGGCTTTAGTATAATGCGGCATTCCCTTTATTCTTTGAATATTGTCTTGCTGGTAGCGGAACTACCTCTTGCTCATTTATTTGCAAAGTTCTACAACGGCTCGGCGCCAGTGAGTCATTCGCAATTGTATGCTGCGAATGCCGCATTATAAAGCCAGCCTTTCGACATAAGCTAATATTGCATATGAACACAGATATGTAGGTATATTGATATCCTCTGAAACGTTAAACAAGATCATCGGGTACTCTTTATGAATTTGTACAAAGATTTTGGGTTGCTGTGCCCAAACGCGTGAATCGAATCAAAAAACCCATCCCATCCACCTCCGCCCCCACCCCTAAATCGTTGTACAAATAGCCAAAGATTTCCCTTGACTTACGCTTACCAAGTGAATCCATTAAAGGAATACTGAAATAATCATCACCCATCGTTGACTCATCCTCTTCGGTTTTAGCAGCCACAAACTCAGTTTGCCCTCCATACACTCCAAATTTTCCAAAAAAAATGTCTATTTCAGGCTCGCATAATCCAGTGTCCACTTTTTCGTGACTTATAGGCATTTCATCATAAGGCTTAGCTTCCGCCTCAACATCCTCGATATCGTGTTTTATTTCAGGCAAGTG